GGAATGCTAAAACTTGAATAAGTGCTATGTTTGCCTTAAGCCTCAATGGCCAGTTCAGATCAGTTAAAGTCGTCGTTCAACTTTAATTTTTCAATTAGTCGAGCTACTGTATTCGACTCTGTTTCTTTCTGCCGCCAAAGAGAGGCTAATGAACTAATGCCAAGCCAAAAGGAAGATTGGTTCGTTTCATTGGGTTTCGCATTTTGAAGAGGCGCGGCTCGTTAAAATATTGCATTTAGCCAAAGATACGAATGGCAAACGCTGTTTGACTTTTACGATGCTGTACCAAAAGGGCAAACTTTTACGATTATTTTAACACTTTGATGGGGGGACGAAGTTTTCTGGCTGCCTGGTCGGTCATAGGCAAGCGTAAAATTAGATTCGTTTCTATGATGCACTAAACGACTTAAAGAGGCGTTCGAGCCTTTAAAATTCAATTACGGCAGCGCAAGATCGAAAACCATCAGCAGCAGCTACTATTGGCAGGAAGTAGTGGCGTTTGGTACCTCCTCGAAGAATTTTATATGATGCGCTGTATTGAAGCTATACGTTGTTTATTATTTTATTACGTTTTTTGTTAGTTTTCGTGTTTGAAAATATAGAAAAATAGTGAGAACAGCAACCGTAAGCATTCTTGATTTTGGCACATTAAGCGGAATTTTGTGTAGGTTTTTTTTTATTATTGTCATTATCGTGTATAATATTTATATTGTTGTTGTTAAATGTTTTATATTTAGGTTCATTTTATAGCGTCTCCCAAAAAATGGTTTTATCATTCAGCAAGTTGCTCTATCCAAGTTTTCAATTAAGACATAATTATGTCAGACATTTAATTTATCGCAAGTGTCCCTTTACACACGCGAAGTTTGTCTAAACAAGCAGCCGCTCACCCTTGGCTGGGGCGGCCATTTTATGTGCTTATTGGAGCGTTCTGTTTCGTCCTTTTATGTGAGAGAATGTTACAATTTCGCCGACGTGCTGTCAAAGTCCTTTGTAATTGTTCATTTTCTTATCTAGATTTGCTGACCCATCCTTCCTACTCGAGCAGGTGTCGCCTGCAAAACTCTGTGGAAATTACGTTTTTATTAATTGGCTATTTGGAGTAGATAGAAATAGAGACGATGCGATGGGCAACATGGGCAACCTATTTTTGAGTTTTTATTGCAGTTAAAAATCGCGTGTAGGCGGACAACAAAAACAATATAATTTTTGGTAAGTGCGCAACTCCTATAACATAACATAGGTTGTAGATCCTGCAACTTTATCTTATCGTTTGTCGGCGATAGTATTCTGGATTACCTAATTGTTCAAATGATTGTCTGTTTGTGCTTCCTGTCCGTTGCCTCTTTTGCTAAAGTATTGTTGCTGTGCCCTTACGGCGCGTGTCTTAGTCCCTGGCGCAAGGTGCAGAGAAGAGCCTGCTGCAACTTGTTTGCCAGCCTGCGCTGCATCCGTCAAAAGAACGTCGCGTGTAAACTACAACTACGAGGGAACGGTAACCTCATGTTCATGATTTCAGGCACATGCGTAACCTGCGCCAATTTGGCCCGCACAAAATCGTCGTCGTCTCCGTCGCCGGCTTTGTTTCGACCGAAACGCTGTGTGGGCATCTGCTGATTGCAACGTCCAGCACAAACCCAAACCCAAAACCGAACCCTCAATTAGACCGCCCCTGCAATTTAAAAATGTGTAGTGTCTGCCTGCTCTTATATGTGACGGTCGCAAAAAATTTAAAGCTGACTAGTCAACTAATTTGGGCGACCGCTTCAAGGCACCCACGCAACAAATGCAAACTTTTTGCGACTCACACAGTGACCAATTTGCAAATTCTTGGATAGTAGCTGTACCCTGTAGCGCAGCTAACCAACAGGAGCGACAACGGCGCACACAGTTTCTTTTTAATGACCATGAAATCTGCCTTGGAGTCATTTTGGTAGACTACCTTTCTTTAGATATTCGCTCGCAAATTTCCAAAAAAAAATTTTAATGGGTGGAGCCCCGAAGGCACTGAGTCTGAATATGAAAGATAATATAATATATAAACATTAAAATGATGGCAGCCGGAATAGCTTTGTAAATATTAAATACAAATAAAAAGTATGAATGCACCATCTTCATAGTTAAGGCATTCTTGAATTAAGTTATTAAATGAAAATATATATGTAAAATGTTATTAAACGTTGGTTTGCAGTAATTTGCCTCCATTCTAATGTTTTAATGATGTGCGATAGGCACGCATTCTAGAATATGTCTGTAGTTGCTAAAATGCAAAGAAACATATCTTATATAACATAACATAAACATATATAAAGCAATTTGTCCTGACTGAATGAAAGACTAACTGACTGATTGGCGATCAACGCCCAAACCGTACGAATTAGAAGGCCGTAATTTTGACTGTATTTACCTTAAGTAATGGAGATGCATGCTACGACGGCTTTTGGGAAATTCCTGCAAGTGCGGTAAAGTCGCAAAAAACGTTTGAATGAAACTTTTTGTTTTCCATCCGATATTTAAAATTTGTTTGATACTTTTTTAAGCTTGCATGAACGAAAGTTTATTTCTCGGCTTCAAGGGCCACATGATTGGACTAAAATGGGCGGAAAACGTCGATTTTAACCTTTAGCTATTTTTTCGATGGACTTCAAACTCATTTTCTAATGTCTACATAAAATATAACCTCAGACGTGGAGTTCGAGATAGTACGTTGTGAAAAAAGCGAAAAAAACGGTTGTATGATACTTTTGTGTTTATCGTTTCATCGCTCTCTAACTCATTTTCAAAGATATTTGTGAACATTTTTTTAAGGCCTGTTCTACACTGTTCGCAAAATCCATACCTCTTGGATGAAAAATTTACATTTTTAAATATATTTTATTGGTTAAAGAAATTCAAGCAAAGCTTAAAGTTGAATCTTCCCGTGCTTTATGAAGGAGCAGTGTAGTTCTGAGTATGCCAATTTTAAAAACAGACTTAATTGGATTTTTATGGTGATCTGAAATATATTTACTTTTACATATACGGAATCCTTTAGGCAAGACAGTGGCTTTAATTTCAATTACAATATAAGCGAATGTAATGTCAGAGATGTGTATCGCGACAAGCATTACGTACAAAACCAATTCAATTGGAAGAAGTTAAGCCGCTTTGACGCCCTTTTTGCAACTAGCTGACTTCTACTTCCGGTTGCTCATTTTTTGTACATTGAATGGATTATACACTGAACTTCCCACACAGATTTGAGTGCCGACCTTAATTTGGGGCGTGTTTTGGGCTGGGTTTGGGTAATTGCAACCACTTGAAAAGCTCATGGTCACATAATCGCGTTGTTTGTGTGCCGAACAGACAGCAGAACAAGCCAAGTGGGTGCTGGGTGGGCTGGTGACTACGGACTCGTTGGGCGTCGCTTCCATACGCCTGGCTGACTCAGTTGATCTTATTACTCCGCGCTTGGTTGAATGAGAAAATCCGGGGCAGCTGTGGGTCGGTAGTGCAGGAGGTGGAAGTGAGTACCAGTACCAGTTGCAAAAGGCATTGTGTGAGACACCCAAGTCGGGCTTGTGCTTTTTTGACAGTTTTATCTCAACCTTGCAGAAGTTTCGGTGACGGGTGTTTTTCTCAGAGCATTCTCACTCCATGAATATATATTTTTACCTATACTAGTTGTTCTAAGAACATTGCTTGTTTTAAATATAGGTTTTTTGTCGCACCAAGTAGATTTGCATATGATACGCAGCTAAGGGTAATACACTTGTTCACCTGAGGGACATTTGGAAATAGTACCGCTTTGTAATTCATTGATTTTTTGGATATGACATAAAAACCCTGCTCCCAATTACATTTACCATTTCAAAACCAGCAGTTTTCCGTGAGTAGGCAACAGTCTGCTTTTATAGCCAATATGACAGTTTTATCTTTCGTTACCAGCCTTGGCCATAGAAAATTTATTTTCAATTGAAATGCCAACCGACAATTGTCATATTCAATTAACGCTTACGCCACCAAAGCGTTTCTTAATTTCGCCACCCAAAACCCATTAACCCACTCCAGAAGCTTCAGAAGAGCGAGAGGTAGCCACGCTGTGGGTAGGACCGAAGCACGACTGCAGCCGTCGTTGTTTCGCTCAGGGCAACGGCTACGCCACACACACACCCACTTCCATATATACACATTACTGGCTATGGAACTGCCACATTGTGGTGGGCATGAAGAAGCGTTCGCGTGCTGCGTTGACGCTGCCGATTGGCCGGAACGCGACTGCAACGGCAACGGCTACGGATACGGCTGCCGCAACGCTTCAACATCATTGTACGATGGCAAAAATTCATAATTAAATACTATCTGACTTAGTATGTTTCTAAACTCTTAGGCTGGGCTTATATTTGCTGAATAATAATTGTGTCTTATACAAAACTTGCTAGCCTGTGATTTCGTGTGCTTATAGGCTTATAGCTGGTCGGGTAAAATTTTACTGTCTCTTTAAATATTTTGTGATATGTACTTAAATTTAGCACTGTAAATATAAGCTTCTGAACATATTTACTTTTTTAATAGATGTATGATCCTATGCCTTTTGAATAATTTCTTAACTCCATTGTATCCGCCGTAATGCCAGCGCAGGATGTATGTAGTTCCACGGTGCGGTTGTTTAATACCTTTAAGGGCATCGAATGTGCAGCCATGGCTTTGACCAATCAGAGAACGCGTTATGCTAGCACAACACATGCGCATTATCAAGTGAACGTTGATTGGCCGTGAGCCGCTTAACCGGGGCTGTCGCTGCAGCTGTTGTTGTTTTTGCTATTGCAAACGGTTGTTTGTTGCTGTTGCCGTGAAACCGGTTACACCAGAAAAACGTTTCGTCCGCCTTGTGGCCGTCCGTTGAGAGCCCGTGAACGTTTGCCAGCGTGCGTATTTTTTCGGGTGGCGGTAGTTGTCCAGAGTTTGCTGGATGTAACACGGCAGGGAACCGGACACGGGAACAGCAAAGCAGATCATTGATGCTTTGTGCGTTGGCAGCGCGAATCGCAGGCATTAGTTGAAATTTTGATGGTCGAGTGACTAGGTGAGCGGTGTCGCGATCGGCAAGCTTAAACCGTCTTGAGTCCATTCGTAGTTTTTCGGAAAACTAACGCCCCACGTAAAATATTGCTGAGTGCAAAATTTGTGTGTTGTGCTTACAGTTAAAAGTTTGTGCTAGTGAATGGTAATCGAGTAAAGGTTGAAGATATTCAAAAGACAAGTAGCCAAGGTAAAATGTGATAATATGTTGTAAATAGTTATATAAATATCAAAAGCAATACGGACAGTTCTTATGCTAAATATAATAAGTTTTGCTTAGAAAAGTGATTTTACCTAGACTAAATATGTTTTTCTTGTTACTGGGTAGTGAAGGTCGTACTCGAGTACTTTCAGTAAGGGCGAATACGATTTTGTTTAGCCAATGTTTTTTTTTTGGTGATGCAAAACCCTAATCATGACTAGGCTTGATCCTTATATGTTGTCAACGCTTAAGCTCAGCATATCTTATATATGTGTACATAATTACATAATGTGTGCATAATTACTTCAAGAAATTACATTATTCTTTTGCCGCAAGACATTAGATAGATATTTTTATAAATTTTATTATTGTCTTTTGTTAAACACATCAATTAATGCTTTTAGGTAACGGTTATTGTCCTAATGGAAGTAAATATAACGGGATTACATTTATTCACACATTTCTTATTCATTAAAAGTTAATATACAAATACCCAACGGATATTGGTTTAATTTTATGAGATCAACAAATTTGCATCGCAAAGCTCGCGAAAAGTCGTATTGAAATTGTGTTTCCGCCGGCCTCTGATAACTCATAAATGAGGCTACTAATTTTTCCCACGAAACAAACGACAAAAGTCAAAAATCGTATGCTAATTAATTCTATAGCATGCCGTCTTCCATTATGACCCATTGATTTTGAAAGCTTTCTACCAAACAAGCCGCTTAACAACTTATTTAACGTATTTAAGCGTGGTCATCAGACCCAAAACGATATTGATCTTGTTATTGTTTCTGGCTGGTTTTCATATCAAGTAGCAATGTAGAAAACGGTGACCACTGTTTTACACTAATGTTGATTCTGCGTTCCCTTCTTAGTCTATCATTTTGTAGCTTGCTGCACTCAGACGGCATACGCCTATATACAAATATTCAAATGGTAAAGCATATGTTTTATATAATTTTTTATTTTAATTAGCTACGTTTATTTTATACGCCGCGTGTTTTCTTTGCTGATACAGAAGCTCGGCGAACCTGTCGGTTCCACTTTCGGCTATCGTACGCATTTAAATTATTGTATGTTTGACTAATTTCTGTTAATTTTTATGTTTGTTACGCTTGACAAGTGTATCAGTATTTGAATAAGCCGAAGCATTAGTTAGCTGTTTTATCTTTTCTGTAATCAAATAAACTTCTTGATCTATTCGAAGTATTAACAAAGATTATGAGATCGCATATGTCGCCCCTAACATTAGTGTATAGTTTTTCAGAATGTTACCATTGACTTTTGAAAGCCGTTCAATTGGTCATTTCAGACTTTTAATAAAAATATATTGCAACTTTAAGCACCGATATCATTAGATAATTAGCACAAAATTTATTAAAAAAACGATTGTCTGTAGTTTCAGTTGCTATAAGGAAGAAAAGTAAAGTGAAACACGCCAAAACATACTAGTAAGAGTAACCCTTTCTTTTTTAAAAAGAGTTTAGCTTGCAAATGAAAATGCTTATCGCTGCTTAATGTGGATAAGCCCATGGCACTTAACGACCTTAACGGCTGCCACGAGTAGCTCCAAAACTAAACTAAAACAAAGTAACAAGAAAACAAAAAAAAACAACAACTTAATTTTGTGCCTTTGAAAAACAGCGCTGCTGTCCACACGCGCATTTGGAATTTTACGAGCTGAAAAGCAACCGAAAAGTCAAATCCTTAGGTCTTTAGGCAATTAAATCTAATGTGAATTCCATAATAACATGGCCATGACCAAGTGCAAAGGCTTTGGAGCTAAGGGGTAGTTACATATTTTGATTTATACGGTTCTTCGGCGCGCATTTTCATGCCTCTGACAAGCTGGCGACAGGTTAACCAGGGAGTACACTCTTAAACTGGCGGCCCATTCATTCTAATGACAGGAAGCGGAAACCGAAGTCGGGGTGACCTTCTGTCGCCGAGCTTTACATTTGCATATTTTCGGTATGTTTTTAACCAAATGAGCAATTGGCCAAAATTTATTTTAATTGTTGCCCAGTTTGAGCATTTGCATATTTTCAACCTCTGCCTCAGCTCAGTAAGCTAAACATGCAATGTGGTTTATGTAGTCCCAGAGTGCGCTGATAATAGGCCAGTTCACGCTGCGCCAAGAATGTGCTTGATAAGCAGCTAATTTGAAATACAACAAAAATACAAGCACGGTGCATTTGGGCACAGCACATAAACCACTAAACATTAAATCCCCCGAAACGTCGAATATCTTATAGCTAGGACTACAACCATATACACATACGTATTGTCTTTTGTGGCTGCCTTGCAAGTTTTATGAAATAATTAAGTTTTATGTATTTTCCTTACTAGTTTTCACCGATCTGATTCCCGACTGACACAAGCGTGTGCAGAGATTTCGTGGAAGCCGTAAAAAACCCATCTGCCCAGCTACTAGCTCTGGCGGGAGATCGTTTGCACCAACATCCCAAAAGCAACATCCATCAACTGCAGCGCCTTTGGCAGCAGACAGCAATATCTCGACGCGTGGTTTAATGGGATTCTTGCCTAAAATTTGATTAGAATTCCACGATTAAGCAAAACTTTAAGCCAAACCCATAAACATTATCACAAAGCTTACGCAGGTGACGCTACTCACTTCAAATAGTTGTCAATTGGAGTTGAACACGGGTTTCTACCATGCCACATACAGGTGAGTTTCGGATCTCTTTTGGTTAACTAATGAGCAGTAACTGCCTCAATGAAAGCGTTCAATGCTATCACAATAAAATATAAACCAAAAGTTCAATTTAAAATACTTATTTGGATGTGATAATCATGGCACCAAGCCAGTCAAAGCCAGTCGCAGCCCTTTGGGCAAAACTCTTTTGTGCTTCATAAAAGAGACAGCAAACATAAAATTCGCACTTCATTAAACTCGAAAACACCGCCCCGAGGAGTTGGCAATAGCAGGAGGTAAAAAGTGTGCCGCACAAACAGAAAAGACGCACTGTCTGGACGGTAATTGCAACTACACATAAGTTTGAGTATTAATTTCGTTGAGAGCGAAGCAGCATGGTTTCATTGCTCGTGTACTCGGTTTGTACAACATTTATCTTCAAGCTTATAAGCAAAGCGCATATAACAAGGAAAAGGAAGATCATTTATTTTATGAGCGTGAATTGATCTAAGTCTTTCAATGCCTAATTCTTAACTTGAACGAAACGAACTACTAACCTTATTGCTTTTCGATTCGATTCTTAAGAAAATGCTTATAAAAGATCTTCAGTAATACTATTTTAATATGTTATATTTTAAATGTTCGCTTTGGGCTAAGTTTCTTTTGGTTAAGTGACTAGCCGAATTTCTGTGCCTGCGATTCACACATAAATGTCCTCTATGACAAAGGCAGTAGAAGAGAATTTGTAATAAAATAATATATTTATTCGTTTATAATAAACCTGCTTTTTTATTATTTATTTGCAGGCCAGGCGGGTGTCAATCAGTTGGGCGGGGTGTTTGTCAATGGACGTCCTTTGCCAGACTGTGTGCGTCGACGAATCGTCGATTTGGCGCTATGCGGCGTAAGGCCCTGTGACATATCCAGACAACTATTAGTCTCCCATGGTAAGTGTGCGAGTGCAGCCAAGGAGTGGATTTTAAATAAAATAAACTAAACGGATTTTCTGCTTTGTTATACTTGATAGGCTGCGTTTCCAAAATTTTGACGCGCTTTTATGAGACAGGTTCGATTCGACCGGGATCTATTGGTGGTAGCAAAACGAAGGTAAGTAGATATGGGATTGGAAGTGGGCTTCGTGGGATATGGGCATATGTGTGCGCCGTGAAATAACAAACGATTATATGTATAAAAATCAAACGCACAGCAGTAAATCCATAAAGTATCAAAGATAAAGCAGCTAGTTTACATGTTCTTTGGATGACAGCTTTTATAGACTGTTTGGGGAGAGGGACTTTGGTGTGGGCACAGCGCAGCAAATCAATCTCATTTGCTAGCATTGATAAGCGGATAGCACGCTTTTGTCACCACCGGGACCACAGTACCTGCATTTAGTCAGTTGCTTAATTTCACACGCTCAATCAGCTACGTAAAGCTACTGTGGGCTACCGCGCCAGCAGTAGTTAACGCTGTGATAAAAAATCGTGGAGAGAATCAGAAAGCACAGTGAGGCTAGAACAGGTACATATCAACAAGAGCTCCAGGTTAAATAAATGTTCAGGTGCGTCGCGGACTGTATTCCGACGGCACTAGATTCAAATACAACTCGCAATTAACCTCTAAGTAAAGTGTACTCCACACATAGTACATGCGCGTGATATAGTGATTCAATAACTGCCTTCATTTGCCTGAACAAAACGTGCATTTAACACCTACACCATGTCAATAAAGAAGTGTCACCCAGGGGATGTGACGGGGGCTTATACTTGGAGAAAGAGTGAGGAAAGGGGGCGTAACAATAGTAGAGGACAAAGCAGGGGTTAGTTGAGCAGTCAGTCATACAAAGCGCCTTCGTGTGTACGATTCGATAAGATCTCTGATGTAAATGTGGGCTCTTTTAGGGGCGCCTATGAACTATTCAAGTATTTATGAATTTTTAATGAATTGCCACGTCACACGTGAACGTTAAGCGGGGCAACTACGGTGGGCAGCTCTTGAAACAGCAAATATGCAAGTTAAGATATAGCTAAAAAACAAAAAAAAAGCAACTTGATATATATCTATTGAAATAACAGCGAAAGCGGGTGGTATTCGGCTGGTACGGCAGGCTTTATACCTATGGGCGATCTGGAAATTGTTTTTGCAGGTGCATTGCATTGTACAATAGAATTTCACGGCATTTAATGGTCAGGACATATCAAGCCATTCATTCCCAGTCTCTAACCGACAAACTCTCTGCTTTAAATTTCATTAACAGCAAGTGGCTACACCCACGGTGGTTAAAAAGATAATACGCTTAAAGGAAGAGAACAGCGGCATGTTCGCTTGGGAAATACGTGAGCAGTTGCAGCAGCAACGTGTCTGTGACCCTAGCTCAGTTCCGTCGATCAGCTCTATTAATCGTATATTGCGTAATAGTGGTCTTTGGACAGACGAGATGACATCCAGTCAACAGAATGCTGCGGCTGCAGCAGCCGCAGTGGCAGCGGCTCACCAAATGTCTGGCAGTGGTACTCCAAGTGGTTATGCCACGCCCACGCAGTTGTACGCAAGCGCCAGCAATGCAGCAGCCGTAGCTACACGAGTTACGCCCGCTTCTGCCACGCCGCCCACAACGACAGTATCAGGCTTGCCCTCACGCTATACCAAGGCGTTGCAGTCGCCGTCGCTGCTGAGCGATGGGCAACCTCTCAAACCTGCGCCGAAGATGATGCCCTCGAATCATGGAAACAGTCATAGTCATAGTCATGGGCTGGTGGCCAGTGCCGTGTCCAGCCAGTTGGGTGGATTGGATTTGAGTTACTCGGCACTGCACAAGCACTGGCTATGGAATCCTTCGCTTCTCTATTATACCCAAGCACATATGCAAGCAGCCCAGGCAGTAGCAACGGGCAACGGTCAGATATTGCCTTATAGTGGCGCCTTTATGCCACATGGTGCAGCCAGCATGGCGGCTGTTGCTGCTGTTGCGGCAAGCAGCTGTGGAGTTGGTGGCGGTTTCACAAAATCAGAAAGCTCAATCGATCTAACCAAAGCCTGCGCCATGGGAGACCCGTTGAGTGATTGCGATTCGGGAAAATCCTCACCGGTGGCGCTGTCGTTGAGTGCAGCTACAGCTACAGCTACCATGACAGATACGCTGAACAACAGCCATAATAGTCGCAAACGGAATCCGTATTCCATTGAGGAGTTATTAAAGAAGCCTGAGAAGCGTTTCCGACTCAGTAGCGAATCACAGGCGAGTTTGGAGGGATGTACGGCTAAGCGTGATAATCTTGAATGCATAAGTTCTTCGAGTTCCAGTTCCAGTTCCAGTGAAAGCAATAGCAGCAACGCAAGCTCTGAAGATACGGCACTGACAAGGTCACAACTGGAAGAAGCTGATATCGAGGAAGATTGCAGTGTTGAGGTAGTTAATTAAGACAACGTGTTTGCTTTCACTTTAGTTAAGTAAGAGTCCCAGTTTAAAACAATTAATGTGTTTATGCTAGTTTACCCATTCGTGATAACTATTTAATCGAAATAAAATACAATCGAACTATGTAAATGTAATTAATACCAACTTGTTTTCTTGTACAAATTCTATTCGTTATTACTATCAAAAAATACAACCTATCTAACCCTTTTTTTAAAAACAATCATTTCTTTAGGCGTGCAAATTTATTGTCCATTATTCTCAATTCTTCCAATGCCTGTAGGTATTAGGGAAAGATAAAAAATTAATTTTATATATACATATATATAAATATATATATACTTTTTTTTTCTTAGACTAACATAATTTATTCCGCCCGCTAGCTGAAACACACCAAAAATACAATATATAATAATGTCGACTTCTGCCAATTCCGACCAAAAGTCAGATATTCTTGATCCGCCTTAATAGCAGCTACCATATAGCCATGTCCGCCCGTCTCTGTGGCTGTTTGATAATTCTTTTATGTTGGTTCTTGTGTACTTTACTTGGAAAGAAGCAGTGCTAGTGCTGCTTCATAATCTCAGCTTGAAACGTATTTGTATACTTTGAACGAGTTATTTCCGTGTCGGGCATTTTAAACTAAAACATTCTTGCGTAAATTATTATTTCCACAATAAAGTGTGTTGTATTTGTGTTAGTTATCAATGTGCTACCTGGTGGTCCCTGGGCTGTCCTTTTGCAACGTCGTCGAGGCGCTCTTTAATTAACTTGCGCACCAATGAAGTGTCAACAAGTTGCCAACAACAAGAACAACAATTCATTGCAAAGTACAAAATTACAAGATGTCTGACACGACCATAACTATCGATCGCCCGCGGTGGCAACTGCCGCTTCTTCGCACATCTCTCAACCGGCGAAGGCAAACACACTGTGGTCCGACAGCCAATTCATGCGGCAAAAGTAAATTTAGGTGATAATTTTCATTTTTATTGCTCTTTTATACTGTTTGTATAATATATAAATAATAGATAATCTTGTCGAAATGCAAAACTCTGGTAACAATTGATTTTTATAACTTTTCAGTGACCACTTTGTTTCATAGTTAATTCATCTGATGTTTCTAAAGGTTTCAGATTTTGATTTTGGCCCACTGTACGAAACTTGCTTCCTTAGTAAGGCGACAATGACATTGAAATTGTCATGAGCTACTGTAGTGTGCTGTGTTGCTGTAGCTGCATTGTGATCTGAATTTATAAGCAGAAAACTAAGATCAGGGGTGCTGTCCGGTGGGGACAGACAACCCAGGCCAGAGGTGAGATGTGCTTTCATTATATGAAACCACAGAAGAGCCTGTTGTGGACGCCGCTCCCAGGATAGGCACAGGCAGCTTTCCGACTAACTCTGAATATTACATTTCATTCATTTTAAAGGAATATTTCAATGATGATCGATATTTTGATAATTTATTTTACTTGCTGCATTAAAAGGTAAAACCTCTACGAATAAAGAGATTACAAGCTTACATATAAAAGCAATTAGGTTTTTAAAGCACGGAAAAGACATTCGGATGAAGGAAATTTAATAAGGATACGATTGATAAAGAAAAGTATAAATGTACTAAAATTGCGTAAAATATGCGAAAAACGTATGCTCCGCTGCTTGAGTCTGCAAAAAAGAAAGACATTTAGACATTAGCAAAAAAGTTGCCATAATTTTATCACGTGCAAGGATTGAAGTAGGAGGGGCATTGCACTTCATAAACAATGCTAAAAGGCGTTGAGGATTCGCACAAGAAAACTGGTGGTCAGGAATGCAGCACAGTGTGAAGGCCTTATTTCCAGTAACCAGCACCCCAGCCCAGCCCGGCCAGCAGGCGCAAGCGCAATAAAAGAGCAAGCTTCAGTTCTGAGCCTGATTGTCCCACTTCGGAATGATCAGGCATGACTATGACTGACAGGCTGGATGCCTGGATGCCTGGCTTTGTAAAAAAGTTTCTTCTTTGAACAAACACAGATTGCTACGCTGGACTGTCTACGTTAAACGCACATATCGATCGTTGCTCGTTGATCGCCTCGATCATAAGCCGGGGGCGACACTTTTGGGCCAGGCCACATCGGGACAACAGAATATTTTTATACGCTCGCGTTCGAAATATAAATGAGGTAAGCATGCAGCAGCAGGAACATCAGGATCGTAACCATCTTCAATTCGATCTCTCGATTTCCGATCCAAAGCGTTTTTGTAACAGCTCGCAAAGTTTAGCGCGACAAAAAACGCGCGAGCCGTTCACTTTGCTGAGCATTTGGATTTCGCGCTCGTTTGAGGTTTTTGTACCAGTTACCTGCAGATATATGAGCGAGCAACAGCTTCTGTGTTAGCTGAAGGAACTGAACCTGCTCAAGGTACTGAGCCTGCTCTCAGTATAGGCTGAACTATTGCAATGTTTCGTTGCGCTGTTAGCATTTGATTTGTGTTTTGGTTTTTGCGGTTACTGCACGTTTTCGGCATAAATCAAGATATTGTCGGAGAATCGGACAAGATGAGAAGGTGACCTCGACATATCTTGCAGTGTATGAGAAAACGATCGATGCGACTAATATTTTTCTGACGGTAATAGTATTGTTTTACGCGATTAGCAGCTTCAAATGTTTGATAACGCATATAAATGATTGATTTCCATTTGGGAATCGGTTATTGAGGCATATCCATTCACATTGTTAAAAGACTATTTCTTCCCTAATAATTATAAATTGACTTGGAGATATATTATCACAAAAAATTCACGTACATACACGATTATTGGAAGGGAGACAGAGTTTTGATTATAAATATCAATAGGAAAAAAACAAAAATAGAGAACGTGGTACGGCAAGGAAAGGATACAGAAAGAGACATAGTTGATCGAATTTTCAGCTTCCTAGCTTTTATGGTGCGTCTATCACTGGCGAATATAAGTATTGACCAAAAAGTATTCGTCTGCTTCTTTTTTGCTCAGCTAGGAAAACTATGGGTAATAACTCTTGTGCTCATTATCCAAAGTATTTTCAGCGTTGTTGTGGAAGGATAACAACAGAGTAAAGTATATCTCAGTGTATACTTGTTCGATAGACATTTTTAAATCATGGCATCATGAAAATGATATCATTTAAACAAATCATTTTATTTTTAATAAATCCTCAAACCAAGCACTCTTAAAAGCATTTGTTTATTTTCTCTAATTACTAAAAGTAGTAATAGTTTCTATGAAACATTTATTTCATTATATAAGTAAATATGAAAGTCTAGTCGTCTTGCGCTTTCTAAACTATTGACCTTTGACATAATTTAATGACTTCAGATTTGTAGGTTTCTCTTCTTACTTTTAACATTTTGTGCATTTCGCTGGTTCAGTTTGTATGCTCGGCTTTTATTCGGCGCTGCCCTTGTTAAATAAGGCAATTTTTTATGGGTAATTTCCTAAAGGTTCACTTAAATACTCCCGACCGAACTTGAACTCGAGATCTCTGCGATGAGTCTGGCTTGTCAACACATTTCGAGATTGATTTCTCTGTTTCTTGTGACTACCTCCGACCGCTGTGCACACAATTAAACCGTAAAAAGCGGCAACCCAACAAGAGGAACAATGGGAAAGGGTTAATTGGCAGCCACCGGCAACAGAAGCAGTTATGTTCTTATTTAAAACGCTCGACAACAGGTTAAACCCAAATGTGAGGCAATAAAAATTTAAAAATGTTTTCCTGCTTTCCTCATGGTGCTGCCCATTAAAATAGTAAACCAGCGGATCGATCGAATAGCCACTGAGTGAAACAGTAGCGCTCCAGAAATATCGTTCGATTGTGTCTAAAAACTGTGACATTTACATAATTAGCTTTTATTGTTAGTTGATCGCTTGCATAAGCGCAAGATCTATGAAACAACAAACAATCTCCGTAAGCGGAAATAAAGCAAACTGTGTACACAGGTGAGTTGCCTCTGAAAAGGCCTGCAAAAACAGACAATAATTAAAATTAATGTGGCTATTGGCTGCATTTGACTCCAATTAAATGACATGGCCCTTGGGTTGAATCCCGTCTCTGAGCATAACGAAAATCAGTAGGCGATTCTGTTGTCATAAAAGTAAAGTAAACAATTTTACAGCTATCAGCGCCACTGGGCACAGGTTACTCTGGTGAAGTTCTGACATGGACATCAATATCGTTAAACAGGTATCTCTGACTAAAATAAATAAGTCGCCCGTTGATTTGACGAGATGGCAATGGAATTCTTTAGGACATGAATAGTGCGCTAGGCAGCAAACCATTGGTTAAAACTATATCATCACATCTCCTAAGACCTTAGACAGCAGCGATTGTAACACTAGCTTCTCGTTAACTTAAAATCGAAATCGGTTACACGCCTTACTATTTGAAAAGTTAACTTTTGTCTCAAGAAACTTTTTTTTTTTGGAATGTACTTCGACTCAACCTGCAAATGGTGTGCTCAAATTAAGAAAAAAAAAAGACGAGCATAACACAATACCAAAAAGTAGACTGTGCTTGGTGTTACCGAAGTTGATCGATTTATGTCTGACTGCAGCTGCAGTGCGTCCTTTTAATTGGTACATCATGGGTTACGAGAGGGAGACATTGGAGGGCGAAAGAGAATGAGGTACAGAAACTGTAACTAAGTTAGAGCCAGCGGTGCGCTTGTGAGCAATTCGTCAAATCAAACAAGTAACGCATACTTCCGCATCCGACTAAGGGCAACTGATTCACCTGCTCCTTGACGCGCGCACATTAGCAGCGCATTGGAACTGCAGCCCGCATTATCCTTCGCTCTCGGCAAGTGCTCAAGTGCCCATCATTAGCTGGTTCGCTTTTTCAGCAATTACGCCACTTCAATTGTCTTTGACATGACTACACAGGATCTGCACCTTTCAAATCGCACTCTGTTAATTTTCTTTTCCTTTTATATAAGTCCTGCGCCGATGCTGGCGTACACTCGCGCCTCCTTCGCCTGGTAATGGTAATGGAATTATAATTATAGACTCCGCTCCCTCACTCGCTGTTCTGCACTGGCTAATGTTGTCAGCGAGGCTCGTGGCCAGTTTGCGGTTGCAGGTTGTGATGTCGCCAC